AACTACAGGCGCGTGCTACCACACCCAGCTAATTTTTTGATTTATTGTAGAGATGAGATCCTGCCAAGTTGCTCGGGCGGATCTCAAACCTGTGGGCTCAGGCAATCCACTCACCTCGGCCTCCCAAAGGGCGGGATTACAGGCTGAGCCACCGAGCCCAACTCCTCAGGCCTTTTCCATCACTTGGCAAGTAAACATGGTCTGGAGTTGGTGAGAAGGACGACCCCAGCCAACCAAGAGGAGGGGGTAAGAGGGATGGAAGAGACACAGCAGAAGGACTCACTCACAGATCCTGGCAGCCTTGCCCCGGAGGGGCTCCCATCTCCAAGGTGCTGCCCAGATGCTACACCCCCGGAAGACAGCTCTGAGCAAACCTGAGCAGCTATACCTGGCTCCATCACCCCTGCCTGCTCCCCCTACGACTGCTGTGGCACCTGTGCCCCTAGTCAACCCCACACACAGGCCTGGAACCACAGAATCATGGAGTCGCTTTGTAGCCTGGCACTGCTGTTCTCCTTTGTTTCATCCCAGCCCTTCAGGAGGTTTATGGCCCATATGGACCCTTGCTACTGCCTGCCCCCTCCAGCCTTCTCTGACAAAGCACTGCCTCTACTCCATGAGGCCATGGGTGAGCAGGTCCTTCAGGAGATGCAATGGGCCGAGGGGGGCCTTGTGCACCTCACCCTCTCCATACTGGCCTAGCACTGCCTTGTAAGCTATGTGGCCATCACTGCCCACTAGAAGGAGACACCACTGGGCAGCAGGCCAGTCCCTTTAAGGGGCCTGTGGAAGCGAGTGGTGCTCTGGGTGCGAGGCCTACCCCTGGAGAAGGCCATGGAGGAAAAGCAGCTGAAAGTATTGGAGGAGGCCTATGTGAGGCTGGGCCATGGCTCCCTGCAGGTGGGCTTCCTGGTGTCAGGTGGCTGCCCCAGCCTGGAGCAGTCAACCAGGAGTAAAAGTTATACCCACATTCCTTGTTTTGCCCTGGTAAGAAATTCTCTCTGTCACCATCACAGCATCCAGGTCATCCTGGGCACAGCCAGAGCCATCTGCAGCCTTTTCCAAGGCTCTGCGGAAACCTGGGGGCTCCTTGCCTGGCTCTAGCATCAGCAGGAACTCCCAACCCACCAGCCCTTTGAGGAGCTCTCAGACCCACTGGGTCTCTGCCTACCACCTAATGGAGTGGCTGGTGGAGCAGTGGCAGCCTCTTCAGGAGTATGAGGAAAAGCACCAACTGGAGAAAGCCAGAAGTGTCTTGTCGGCCACATTCTGGTGCCTGGTAGACAGTTTGATCAAGCTCCTGCAGCCCTTCCAGTTAGTGGTCCACGAGGCAAGCATAGCACAGACTTCTCTGAGCCAGGTGCTGCCCCAGCTGCACTACCTGCATATCTTCCTGGAGCAGGTTCACAGGTACTTTGAGGATCAGAGTATTAGGGAGGTGGGTACAGCCATCCGACTGCCAAAAGCTTGACCCTGCAGCTCTCCACAGACTGTCAGCTCAATGAGCTCCTCTACCAAGAGGAGTTTGAGCTGGCCACATTACGGACCCCCGCTTCAAGGGCAAGATTGAGGCCATCCTGCCTGTTGGGGCTGACATTGACCACTGGAAGCAAGTCCTGGTGTACAAGGTGGAGGAGATTATGATGTCTGAATACCCTCTGCCCTCTCCAGGCCCCCTACAGAGACCCAGGAGCCTGCATATGAACCCCACTGGAGTAGCCAAGAGTCCTGGGATGGAGAGGAAGAGCCAGGAGGAGCCTCTGCAGAGCAGTGGCTGCTCCAGGGCCTTCCTGCTAGCCCAGAGGGAGAAGAGCTTGCTGGAGTGGCCAGAAAGTGTGGGGCTGCTGGCCTTCAAGAGTGGTGGGACCTCTGCACAGAGAGCCACCTGGCCAGAGTCATTGTCAAGAAGTGCTATGGGAGAATGAGACCGTTGGGCCCCAGGAGGAACCCCTGGCATACTGGGAGAAGAAGTGAGAAGTCTGACCAGCCCTAGTCAGCCTGGCCACCATCTATCTGTCTTGTCCCCCAACAGGAACCTTTTCTCAAAGTGTCTTTGCCTCCCTGAACAGCTTCACCATAAAAGAGCAAAACTCCTCTCTCAAATTGGAGGCCATTGAGCAGCTCTTCTTGAAGACCAACCTGGAGAATTTCCCCAACTATCCCCGACCTCCCCTTATCTTCTCCAGTGGTGACCTGGTCAATGGGGAGCAGGCCCTGTAGTCTGTCCAGTGTGCAGGGTGGCAGCTCCGGCCAGGTGCTGGTGGCCACCCTGCCCATGGACTCCTGAAGTCTCAGGAGCTCTAAAGAGCACCTCCTTATAGGAACTCTGCAGTAGATAAAAATAGAGAACAGAGTGTTGCATCTTGGGACATCAGAGGAAGATGGCCAGAATCCTAAACCTATTTGGTGAGAAAGAGGACAATTTCTAAATTCTTGACAGATTGCCATAGCATTTTCCTAGGAGATGTCATTTCCCATCTCATTGCTTCATTCGTATCTAGTGGTATATTCCTGAATGACTGTGAGTTGTGCTATATGGCCTTATACACTGTGATGCTCTTTTGAAACATTAGTGGTTTTTGTTTTTGTAGTTTTGAGACGGGGTCTATGTTGCTCAGGTTGGAGTGCAGTGGTGTAATCATAACGCACTGCAGCCTTGACCTGCTGAGCTCAAGTGATCCTCCTGCATCAGCCTCCCAAGTAGCTAGGACTACATGCACTCACCACCACACCTGCTAATTTTTAAAATTTTTTGTGTGGAGTTGGAAGTCTCTCTATGTTGTTCAAGCTGGTCTTGAACTCATGGCCTCAAATAGTCCTCCTGCTTTGGCCTCCCAAAATGCTGTGGTAACAGGTATGAGCCAAGATGGCTGGTCATTAGTGGGTATTAAGGACTTTGCATACACGTTGTCTTCGTGGTTAAATGGATACATTCTCTAAGAGGCTTGTTTTCTCAGAAAGTGTCAGGGAGGAGGGGAGGCATGTGCTGGCAGATGGGAAATACCCTTAGCCACTAGGGCCTGGGATGAACCATTGCAAGTACTTTCTGAGGCTGCTTTCACTGTAGGAAAATAGAAACCCCACGGAAGAGTAGCCACTTAAGAGGGAAGTGCACACATGCCCCCACACACCAGTCTTTTCTGGGAATTTCAGAGTGGTCAGAGAACCCCTGATTGACAGGATTAGTCAGGAGAGCTGAAACACCCAATCCTCAAAGTGGCTTTTTTTTTTTTTTTTTTTTTTTTTTTTTT